TCCTGACCCACCAACTACTTGTTTGTTCCTGCTGTAAAGTACTGAAACATGTATTTGGTGTATGTCGTTATTATTATGGAAGTCAGAAAAAATGCCATGCAAACTTGAAATATAAAATACTATTAATGTTTTAGTCAGTTCAGAATAACCAACACTTCAGTTCACTTTTCATTTTAACTTTTCACTGTGCTACTGCATGTAAGTTCATGATCCTAAGGAAAAAGCCTGCATTTTAGTTAGCAGAGTTCTTTACTGCCTTCTCAGTGCCCACTTCATGAGATGCATGACAAATTACTGGAGGATCTATCAGAGTGCCGTTCTCACCCCATGTAATGAGAGTTTTCATTCCTGACCTGGAGCATCATGCCTTCCAACTTCTTTTCTCCAGACCAAGCAATTTTGAATTCTGTGGTTTTACACAGGAATTGCAGATATTTTGTCCTTGTTAATGTCTTTCATATAGCAATGTTATTGATAGATTTGCAGAATTTTCTAACATTGAAGGTCTGGGTTTGATCTCATTCAAGGAGGTGTTATTTCATATGGGTGGAGGGAGTTTATAAGATATAGTTACTGATTTCCAAAATGTTATTTCTAATTGAAATATTCCACAGCTTGGCTTCAAAACTGCCCTTTTAGTAGCTGAAAGATCTTCTAAGCCAGCTTAGTGAATCCTGTCCTAGGTCTCCAGTTGCTGTCATCTGTGTCACAGAGGACTGGCTTTATTGTGTAGAGAGCTAAGCTTGTTCTTTCACACTTCTGGTTTATCAGCAATTTGTGTAGAATTCCTTATCCTCTCCTTTTTTCTTAGAATGTCATAGTGCTTAAACAAATAAAAGTAAAAAAGAAAGAAAGAAAAACAGAGAGAGAACAATAAAAGAAAGAAAGCACAGCACCACATGTTTCATTAGATAGCAATATGTGTAGTTCAGGACTAGTTGTATAGTTTAGATTGTAGACAGGCTACTGCAGACTGTAGTTTTAGCCAACTTCTTGGCTTGTTGAGAAGTATTCATTGCTCTTGAGAAGTATTCATAGCATATACTTTATATTTGTAGTTATCATAAAACATGCTGCTGTAATAGTTTATTGGGCAGGAATTATACAGGCTGTATAAGTAATGCAGCCTTGTAGAATTCTCAGCACATTGTGAAGAAATAACTTAATCTTTTAAAAGATCATCCTGCCTGTTTAAAGACAGTGTGAATTAATCTCTGCTTTTCTTATATACCATTTACAGGATCATCGAAGACCATAAATCTCTGACTGTTTATAAGCAGGTCAAAGCTTGAAAAAGCTCTGAATGTCAGTATTGTTGTTTGCCTCCCAGAATATTTTTCTGGAGAGCTCTTTTATGTTCTGATTCAAATTTATACTCTCATTATCACAGATTTATAGTAAGCATAGTTTAGGACTTCATTGACTTTAATGTAATGTTCAAAGTCAGTAAAACCCTTCCTTAGGTTGCTGCAGTTTGAAGACAAAGAACAGCATAAACTAAATGCTTGGTTTTCATATTTTAATAGCTTATTTTTTGAATTTCTGGTTTTAATCACTGAAACGTGATGTAGTCTAAGAATAACATAAAATATTGATAGTGATGTTTGATTTTTTTTACAATCTCTATAAGACATGTTTATGGATGTAAAGGGGTTGGTTTTCTTTGTATATGAGGGAAAAAAACAATGTAAGTGAGGCAGGGTCACAGTTTGTTTCATATTCTTAAAAGAGAAACATGGAAAGTTGTACATGGTATAAGATACAGAATAATAATAATAAATACTGAATAATAATAAAGAGGACATAAAGTGATGCAAAGACAATCACTCACAACATAGCACAGACTGATGCCCACTGTGCCTTCAAGCAGTGGCCACTTTGAAAAACAATCCTTGTTCTCTCCAGCCCCCTTCTTGCTCTACCACCACTTTTTCTTGCTGAGCATGATGTTACAGGTGTGGAATATGTCTTTGGCCACTTGGGGTCAATTGCCTTAGCTGCATCCCCTCTCAACTCCTTGGCCATCCCCACTCTACTTATTGGGGGGAGGGGGGGGGAAATGATAGAGGCTTGACACTCTGGAAGCACAGTTCAGCAGTAGCCAAAGCACTGGTGTGTTATGAGCACTGTTTTAGCCAAAACTGCACACTATTATGCCAGCTGCTATGATGAAAGAAAACCTCTGTCCCAGTCAGTCCTAGTACCGAACTTGACACTTGTTTTAAGTACTGGCATTGTTCATTCAAGTCTATTTTTGCACTTGAATAAAATCAAATCACACCAAAAGGATAATCTGAGTTTCATTTGCCTGGAAAACCTAAACTTTATGGAGTTTATTTGGTAAATAAGCAGAAGGACCTCTGATTAATCTTTTTACTATTAATAACTTTTTAACCAAGTTGTGTTAGTTTTGAAAACCCTCGAATTTTTCTCTTTAACAGCATAGTTTTAACCCAATGAAACAAGAAAAGCCTCTTATTCCAACCTCTGTTTAAACTTGATGGAGCGGTTATTGATGAAAAAAACCATACTGGGAAGTAATTCTTTAGTGGGGTGGTCATCTTCGTTAAGCATGTTGTAGTAGCACACGTCTGACTATATTCTGTATTTTACTATTGAGACATTTCACGTCAGTCATTACACACTTCAGGAATTATCTGGAAGATTATTGTGTTTATCAAGGAATTGAGGTTGCAGTCACCCTATTCCAGTTTGATAACACCTTTTGTGACTTAGGCTTCAGAATGTAGTGTCTGTGTTTTTGTGTTGAATCATGTAATTTCACTGAAGTTAGTGCTTCTGTCTGTGCAGAGCCTGTCTGCATTCAATCTGTTGGATTCTGCTGAAGGACTAAAGAATGAGTACCTAGAAAGGTCACTCAGAAAAATGAAAGCCCTTATGGACACAGTAGGCTCTATCAATACTTTGTTTCTGAGACCCTGACAGTTTAATCTTACTATACAATTTAACTTCCTGCTGCTGAAAATAAACAGAGAAAATATGATAAGTATCAAAACATAGTGTATGAATTGATTTTGTGCTTTAGGTCTCTGTCAGTAACATAAAAACAGTACCACCATATAAAGTTGTTGAAAGTATTTTGAAAAATTAATTAATAGTTGTGAGGAATGATATTATTTCAGTGATAAACACTTATGTGAAGAGAAGTCTAGAAGAATACTGACAGTACTGTCTTCACAGCAGAGTAAAATAAATGAGGAGCAAACACAATAATTACATGGAAGCAAAATAGTGAGTAGCTGCTGATTGAAGTTTATGCCAATTCTGTATGGAATAAGCTGAGATTCAGGAGGGTAAATATCATATATATTTATATAATTTTATCCTAAACATATTTGCAAGATAGAGCAGATGGAATCTTCTTAGGGAACTTTAATTTCAGCATTTCTATTTTTCTGAAAGCTTGAATTTCCATTTTTGTGTATTTTGTGTTTATTTTTTACTTCCTCCTTTTCCCTCCTTCCCTATTTTTCTTGCAAATATATTTTATGTGTGTCAGTTAGAAACATTCCGCAAAAGCAAGTACACCAAAATATTGAATTTGCCTTTTCAGTTAGAAAACATGTCTATAACCAAATCAATAAATCAAAAACATACCTAATTCTTGTTGAGTATTTATTCACTGACAAAAACTACAGCATGCTTGTTGTATTTTCCCAGGTTATCCTTTACTATCAAAATTTTATATCCTATTTCTAAAGGATTGATCTAATAGGGACTTAATTTTTCTTAATGCAGATTGCACATTCTGTAACAAGTTCTGATTTCTTTATTTCCTTTTCAAAAACAGGTCTCACTGTTTCCTTTTGCATTTTTGTTAGAAAGCCCACAAATACCTGAAATTTTCCCTGTGAAAATATTTGCATAAACATTACTTGACTTGAGATAAATACTTTAAAATATATCATCGCTTTCTTAAGAAGCATTATTTGACAATTCACTTTCTTAAGAAGCATTATTTGACAGCAGCTGAGGACTGTTACCCAGCTGTTTACCCAGTAGGCAGAGGTTACTTGCCTCACACTTCAGCCAGCAGACCTTCAGCATTGTTCCAGTAGACTAGAGTCAACAATGGCTTTGAGATATGTAATTAGCAGTTAGATTAAATGGGCTTATTTTGCACTTACGTGGATCAAGTTAAATTTCACTGGCTGTACAGTGAAGAATTACTCTTTTATCAGGAACACAGCAACAAGATTCTCAGGATAAAAAATCTTGACTTTCTATTGTTGTGCAAAATAATTTTGTCTCTTGACTATAAAGCATGTTTCATTTTTTTTTTCCTGTAAGAGTGCAGCTGAAGCCTTCTTATGCCACTTTTCTATGCTTATATTTTATTGAACATTGGATTTTGTGGTTTACTTGTTTCATCCAGACTTTTACAATGGTGCCTTTCCTATTTCCATTTTGATAAATAAACACAAACAATTAAAATTAGCATTTTTGAAGTTGTTAATGAGCAACATGCTTTTAGTAGTGATGAGCAACAACTAAAAACTATTTTCTTCCTACATGATATTTTGCTGTGTATTTTAATCACCAGGAAAGGAAAAACACTGGATTCAAGCTATAAATTGTTTTAAATTTAAAAAAATGTTACATATATATTGAGAAAATTAAATAGTTTTTGTTTTTTTTTTTTTTATTGAGCAATTGTAAAATTACATTCAGCAATTGTAATATTTTCACCCTATACAGGGAATAACGATGATCTACAATTTTACCCTGGCACTAGGTTCATCCAAGAAATAAAGTATGCAGGTCACCATCAGGTTGCACAGTTAAATACTTCAGCCCTAGGTTAAGCTCTGGCTGTAAATGTGCTCATCTACCTCCTGCCCAAGATCATGAGAAGAGCTGGGGACAGTGGGAGAGCACTCATTATTTTTAGGGGTTAAGCCAACTACTGTCTTCTTTTTAGGTTGTTCTGGATAAGGTCATTTCCTAAAGTGAATATATATATATATTATTGATTGTAGGATGGAATGGGAAATTTGAGAGTCACTAAAAAAGGAATACGACTTGAAGGAATATCTGAATTTCTACTTCCACTATATGTGAAAGAAATCCATTCCCGAAAGGTAGGTATTTTTCATCTTTATTTCTTAATTTGCAGCTAATATAAACTGATCTCTTCAGTCTCAAACTACAAAGTTTAATTCTTACACCTCCTAGATTAGCAATCAGTAGACGTTTGCTTTGAGAATATCTTAACAGTGAAGGCTTCCTTCATGTCATTTTTTTTTCTGAAATCTTGCTTGCTTCTTAAAAGAAATGTTTTATCCTAAAGAAAGGAGATTCAAAGCATGTATATTTTATACTTCAAATGACCTCAGAAATGGGAATGGAACATTTGACTCTCAGTTGATGTAAAGTCCAGGAAAGCAAGAGTGGTGATAAGTTTAAAATGCAGTGAAATAAGGAATGGTTTTGTTCTTTTTATCACTAGCTATCATGACTTCTTTTTCTTTTTAATTATTTTTTTAATTTTAATTTTTGTTTGGGTTTATTTTCCTCTTTAAGTAGAGGAAATCCTGCTATACTGTGTAATGTCTCTAGGATTTAATTTTTCAAAGCAAACCCTTTTAAATGTTTAAATGAAATTATCATATATCATCAGGTTATTACAGAGAAAAAAAGAAAAGCAAGACATTTTGTACTATGCAATTCAATGTAGGTCATTTCAAGTCTTTTGGTTTTTTTCAGTTATGCTGTTTATATTAACATTGTAAATGAATTTTAAAAATATTGAAATGCTGGAAAAATCATCTTTTTAGCATGAGACTGATTACCTATGATCTGAGTAGAATGTTATGTTGGCTTTCAGTCAATCATCTGAAAAGAATTTTATTGTGCATACTGCAATATTTGACAGGAATCACAAGTATGTTGACCCTAAATTCCTTTGTGGAAAATTTTGTCTGTTGAAATCTGTCTTCTATGTATATAAGAAAAGTCTTGAGTATATTCATAAATGAGATGACAGTTTCCCATTTCTCTTAATTAGTTCACTCTTATGTTAATAAATCCTTGAGGTAGTCACTTCATCCTCTTGTTCTCTAAAGCTAAGGTCTTTCAATCCTTGACAGAGTAGCAGTATTGTCCTAGGTAATGAAAATTTTTATAATATTTAAGTAACCTTGCAGGGAGCATACTTTTCATTCAAGGCTGCAGAACATTACTCATGATGTGTGGGTTTTTATAATTTCTTTTCTGTGAGTGGACAGTATGTGTTATAGTTCCATGTCCTGTTACTGTACATGAGAGTAATGATTTGGAATATTTTCTTGCCCAGTGCTTCATACTGTGGAACATTGGTTCTTTTAATGGGAAGGTGGAAACTTTTGTTTCAAGTGATAGTAATGAGACTTGAGTAGGGTCCTAATTTCATTTAGCTGCTAACGAATCTCAGAAAAAAAATGCATTTTATGCATATTTAATGCATGGTTATTGTAAAGGAGGGGATGCAGAATCTACCAGATGCCTAACGTAAGGTCCCAATGGTCCTGTGAGGCTCATGAAAAAATGACACTTGTCAGTAAATATTTTCAAGCCAGCAGAAAATAGAGTTGATCATTAAGTTGAAAAAAATAATTCAAGTGAAATACTTTTGGAGTTCCTGGTCTACTTATCTGTATTAACTTTAAGGCACTTGTCACCTAGATAAAAAAGTGGTATTAACACACAGACTTTATTCTATCTTGCAGAACTTTTGAAATAGATTAACTTTCCAGTCTTATGCCAACTTGCTCAGTAGTTGTGCTAAAGTTCAGTAACTTCTATATGCAAAAGGAATGCCATGACGGAATGATGAAGGAAACCTCTGGAGCTGTATCCAGCTTAGCAGTAGAGTTTTGTTATGTCTCTGCAGAGTATTTCTACAGCTGTGTGGCATCTGCATGTGACATGAGCTGTTCTGGTACTTACAAAAGTGGCCATAGTGCTGTTGAAATCTAAAAGTAAGCTTTCTGGGGTTTTTTGGGGTCTCATCACAGTCAGGAGTGACCTAGTCAATACTGACAGCAGATTCTGAGCAACCATCCTGCTCACTCACCAGCTATTAGTGTTTACTTTGGGTTCTACAGACAGGAATGCTTTTGTCTGCCTTTTCCATTTAAGTAATAGTAATTTAAGTTTGATGTATGCAGGAGGTAAAATATTCTGTTAAATCAACTACTTATTACTTATTTCTAGAAGGAATGTTAGTTCTTCAAGCCTTCACTGATTCCCCTATAAAAGAACACATCCCTTAAAGTGACATTGTTTGATTAACTCCTTGATGACTTATTCAGAAGTAACTTTGCAGGACTGCTATATTTCCTCTGCACTGCAGAACATGGTTTGTGGAATGGCCTCTGAGGGAGCTCCATGGGGGCTCTCAGGAGCTCTCAGGAGCTCTCAGGAGGTCAGGCATTCACTGTTCTCCCACCGCAGCTCAGGGCAGAGTGAGGTACAGCAGTGGGTGTGCTGTGCTATGGCTAGGAGGCATTACTGGAGTTCTTGCACATTTGCTGCTGCCATCTTTTAGTAAGCTTGATCTGAAAATGATAAAAATGTTCATTGAGAGGGCAGCATTCACCTCTGTATTACTGCTGATAAGAGGGCCCAGCAGTCTGTTGAGTAGGTAGGCGGAGCTGAGCTCTGTGCTGCTGCAATTTAAGTGTGAGAATGGCTAGATTTGCTAGAGTAAAGCTCACATATGCTTACTGATGACCACTTGCCTGCTGCACACCTGGATGCCCAAATAAGATCATTTATACAGTGTTAAGTGCAGACCTTAAACTGCTTTTATCTAGAGAATGGTATTGAACTTTGTATATAGGTTGAAATACTGCCTTTTATCTTGTGATTGCTTCACTGAAACCCTGAATATTCAAAGTAAGTGCTAAAATGCTTAGATTTAAGTCAGCTGGAAAACAAATGTATGTGAATTCTTAAAAACAAAAGAAAACTTCTAGTGACAACTACTTCTGACAGTATAAAATTTTCTTTCCAGAGGTAGTAGTGAAAAAGCCAGGTCTTGACTAAAATGAATATTTTCTCTTGTGTAGAAGTTGTGTAATTGAGAAGGCTACTCAAAGTGTGCTGTTTCCCTGGCCTTGCTCCTCTTGCATTGCCCTTTTTACCATACACAGTTAGTGGTGTCTGCAGAACTGTGGGTTCCTACCCCTAATTCTATGTTTACACAGAGGAGAAACTTCTATATTTTCATCAAATGGCTTCCCAGCATGTCAGAATTTAAAATGATGATCAGACCCTGAGCAAATAAGGGCTCATTTGATCCTGAATTGACAGCTTTATATTCCCAAAACCAGGACATGTGCAGTCTGTGTAATGAATCTTACAGAGAATTACATTTTGGCCATGAATGGTCTAGCTGTACACTGTTGATCCAATTGCTCACCTGAAACCAGTAAGTTTCATCCAGACCATATTATAATTCTCACGTTTATATCATTTGCATTGTTATGATGCAAACTTATTCTTTATAGTGTATCTTTAATGAGATGTATGAAACCAAATGACACATAATGCAACATCCTGAATTATTTCAGTATTTCGGTTCTTCTGAATCAAATGTTTTTATTATCATGCTACTGCATCCACACTACTGCACTTCAGAATGGAAATAATCAAGGTACATTCTTATTAGCTTGTCATATAACAATAAAAGTTATATGGTGTTCATGGTGTTTTCTTGAGAATGTATTCCTGGGTTTATTAATCTTTTCAATTTGCACATACAGTTCTTAAGGGCTGAAAAAAATCCAGTTTTCTCTTTGTTAAATTGTTTCCATTACATAAAAGAAGTAACCCATTGTCCCTTAAAGTAGAGGGGATTACTTCAGGGGTTTTTTTCACAATTAATAAGGTTAAAAATGTATTCTCTGAAATTAGTGTGTGTTTTCCAGAGATATCCTTAGAAAGCACAGAATTTCCAAGTTCTTTGAGAAAATTTCAAGAAAATAAGAAATAGTGAATATATATGAACTTACTGAACATGAGAAACTCTGAAAACTTTGTGTTTATCTTGAGTTTTAAAATATGTGATTCTATATGAATTAAGAAATTGTAGGTGGGGTTAAAAGCAGGATTTCTTTCAGGTATTTTTTCCTCCAGATTTTTACTCAAGAGACTGAATATTGTTGTAAGTATTTAGAGAGCTTTATTTTACATTGTTTTATTTCCAAACCTGGATTAATCTTGACAAAAGCTAATCTAAAATATATTTCTTTCATCACTGTTTCTCTGAGTGTATATAATCATCAAAATAGAATTAGTTTTTGCTAATTTTAGACAAATCATTGCATATATTTAGGTTTATGTTTGGGCCTTAGGTACCTTTGTGATAACCTCAAATTCTTTTTCTGAGAAAATGTTGAGCTTCTCTCTCTGACTGAGTTATAAGGATGCAGCATAGGAGATCACATCAAAAACCCTTATGAAGTTGAGGAAGAACATACACTCTTCTTGTGCATTGAGACAGGCTTCTCATTTTGCAAGACCACAAGTTGGTGCTCCTTGCCTTTACTAATCCCATGCTTATTTTGTCCCAACTGACTTTTTTTCATATCTACATTGTAATAATTTTTAGGGGCCTCTCCCACATAATCTTGCTAGGAACTGATGTGAGACTGACTGGGCTGTAGTTTCTAAAGTCTTCCTTCCTTGCAAGATCTCATACTCTCTTGTAAGGGCCTGGCAGGATGGGGGTTTTGTTGATTTCAGGGTTGGGTAGAAGGAGCATATTCCCTCACATTCCACTCAGAGATGTTCTCCCAGAATTTCAAGGCCAGATTTGCTATATCAACCCTCTTTTCTGTTCTTTGAGATACCCTTCTGCCATGCAGTCAAAACTAGTTCAAGAATCATGCAGTCCTACCCCTACTGAGGTATATAAGTATCAGAGAAACTCCATTTAGGAGATGTCATTGCACATTTTTTTGTAATATCAAAAAAATCACAAAGGTACCCAAAGAATCTGCCACTGTTATTGCTGATTCTTTAGTTGATGTTCTTTAGTTGATTCTTTAGTTCTTTAGGATGAAATGCAATACTTATTTCTGTAGCTACATGTCAC